GTTTCCAGTACGCTTTGAGCTACTCATTTATCAAGGAAGTTTTGTGAACTGGAAAAGGGGGGGAAACTATCAAGATACCACCTGAACTTCAGGTTAGAAAACCTGGATTTGTGCAGGAAATAGCCCGACTTGATTATCATGCACATTGTGTAAAGAGTTGTCACTTTGGATGGGCTATCACCAGCAGGAGAGTGAATTTGTGTGGGGGGGTGGAGGGTGAGAAAACCTGGATTTGTGCTGGAAATGGCCCACCTGATGATCACTTTAGATAAGCTATTACTAGCAGGACAGTGGGGTGGGAGGAGGTATTGTTTCATATTCTCTGTGTATATATAAAGTCTGCTGCAGTTTCCACGGTATGCATCCGATGAAGTGAGCTGTAGCTCACGAAAGCTCATGCTCAAATAAATTGGTTAGTCTCTAAGGTGCCACAAGTACTCTTTTTCTTTTTGCGAATACAGACTAACACGGCTGTTACTCTGAAACCTGTAATCTTCTAATTATTCATGTAGATAGCTTATCAAAAGTGCAGAAATGAATCACAGCTCTGATGATCTAAGAGAATTAATGCTGTCTAGCACCACACAATCGGTCAAGGTAGATTAAAAGGAACAAGAGACAGTTTGGAAGCTGAGAGGAAAACAAAGTTTAAAAAGAAATACAAAATCCCTCAAGAAATCAGTGACCATCTCAAGTTGTAACTTCTACAGCTAAGATACTGTATGCATCAAAAAATATTCTCTGGAGCCGGGAAATGTATTTTTCAGGGGGAAAAATATGCATGTTATAAAAGCATACATTTATTATAGGCCTTAATTTGAAATTGAATATATCTATCTTACAGCAAAGAGAGCCTTATTTGGATGTTAAACTATAGTGCAGTACAGTTTAATATGTTAGCTGTGGGTATAGTCTATCTGTATCTACCACAGATATATATTACTAGGAATGTGATTGAAACACTTTTCTGGAATTGGGAGGTAATAAGTGCTAATAAGATAATAAGAAGAAATTGTTCCACTTTTGGGTATTAGTTATTCATTGACAACCTTAACTGAATAGTACAGCATTGGTACATGGAATATGTGTACAGTATGTAGGGTTTAATAAAAAAATCCAGTTTGTATTATGATATTTTATTGACTGACAAATAACGTATAATTAAATGCAAAATCAACATTTGTGGAAGCTTAACCCCAATCCTGCGAGTATTTATTCATGTACTTAACTTTACTTTTCTGAGTAGCCCCATTAACTTCAATTAAAAACACAGTCCTGTTTCATAGTTATAAGGGGTTAAGATTATGGGACTTGTTCCTCCTCTCAACCCGGGAATGTGGTGGAAGGAATAGAAGGCATCACCAGTGAAAATGTGAAAACAGCACCTTGAGGCCATGGGTGACCAAGTATGAGTTATAGCAGCCTTCAGATTGCTCTAATTTATGATGAAGCTGGCCCTAACCTCAGCTATCTAGTATCAATTGAGCCCCAGCCCTTATCCTGTGCTGCCTGGTTTGACCAGATAATCTGGGCCCATGTGTTCAATCTAGAAAAAAATTGATCTTAACCTCTCAAAAGTCAGGAAACTGAGAAACCTGAATTAATATTGATTTTGCATTTGTGTATATTACTTGTCAAAGAATACAACCTCAGTCATATTTTTCAAATTAGTTGTCATATGATTTTGCTTCTTTTATTGCCCTGCTCTGACTGTGACAGTGATGAAATTTTGAAAGAAAAACTTAGATACCAATTCTGAGCCCATGAGTGAAATTACCCACTAGCAAGTTGTAAACACCTCAAACGGGGTTGCTAGGGAAGCCCTGAGAGAATCTTTGTTGTAGCTGGTGTCTGGACTCTTTAGAAGAACGCATTAATAGCCCTGATCTTCTATCAGGATTCTCAAACATGGATCTCTGCATCTGTTTGGAGTCCCACTGATGTTAGCAAGACCCCCTGTATGGACACAGGGCTCTGCTCTAGCAGATTCCAATACACAATAGGGTCTACATATGTGAAAACATTTTTTTTCTAAGGGCATGTCTACACTTACCTCCAGAGTGAAAGATCCAGAGGGGGTCAATTTATCGCATCTAGTGAAGACACGATAAATTGACCACCGAGTGCTCTCCCATCGACTCCAGTACTTACCGTGGGTGAACTGAGGCGGCCACCTCAGGTGCCAGACTGTGTGTGTGGGGGGGCACCACTAGGACCCAGAGTGTAGAAAATTGAGTCTGCTACTGGTGCATATGTAATCTTTCTGCTCTAGATGCACAGAGATGGTGGAGTGCTGTGCTGGAGGAAGGAGGGCACAAGAGACATAACAGGCAGGCAGGAGAAAAGGTGAGAGGGAATAACAGAAAGCAGCAGGAGCTGCAGGGAGAGAGGGGAGGAGGAGGAGCCTCTTATGTACCTCTCTAGCACCCGCAGGAGCCTGGACTGATTAACACCAGCTTCTCTGGGAGCTTCCTGTTTCCTGCTGCTTCCCTGAACCCACTTGAGGAGAACAGGCAGTCAACTGAAGTAGTAGGAGCCAGTTAGGCCCTTAAGATGCGGATATCTTCCCTCACTCACGCCCTGCTACCAGCCTCCTTATTTGTCCCCTTCAACTGAGTGTTGAGAGCCACTATAACTGTCACAGAACATCAGTCATCAGTGAAAGAAGAAAACGCCCCTCTGGGGCAGCATTCAGAAAAAGAAAGAAAGCAAAGGCAGCTTTTCTATCTAAGCAGGAAGGAGCTCTCCTGAGATACATAGACACAAATGTTCAGGGTGAGCCTTCCGGCCCCAGTGAGGATGTGGGTGGTGAGGAGATGCCTGATCTTCCAGTTAGTTGGAGTGCAGGTGACCTGGCAGCTACTGCAGCATCCATATCTCCATCTCAAATGGAAGTAACCATGCACATTCCTGAAGAAAAGTGTAGATCAGAGAAGAGTGTGGTGGAGGTACAAGAAACAGCTGCTGCTGAGTTTAATTCCTTAAGTCTAGATGATCCAGGACTCTGGACCCACTTGAGCAGTAGCCTGAGGGACTTCCTTGTACTGCATGGGCCACAGCAAGTGAAAAACTTCATGTTCCCCAAAGACAATGAAAATAGAAGTTTCCGTCCAACACATTACTGGCGTGAAATCCCCAATGGTGACAAAGTGGAGAGGCCATGGCTTTATGTACTCAAAAACCCAGAACGCTGCATACTGTTTTTGTTGCAGACTCTTCCAGTCTAATGCTGCAGCCACATTGGGTTCTACAGGAAAAAAAGGACTGGAAAAATCTGGCTAGAAATCTGGCATGCCATGAGAAGACAGCAAATCACCAGAGAGCATTCCATAGATGGAAAGAGCTTGAGATGAGACTAAGGTTAAAGGCCCCCATAGATGATCAGCATCAAGAGAAGATTGCATCAGAATCTCTTTACTGGCAAAATGTTCTGAAAAGGCTCATTGCCATTGTGAGAATGCTTGCTACCCAAAACCTAGCACTGTGTGGCACTTCAGATCAGCTCTATGTGCCAAACAGTGGAAACTTCCTTAAAATTGTGGAGCTAATGGCTGAGTTTGATGCTGTACTCCAAGAGCATCTAAGAAGAGTCACCACCCAAGAAATGTACACACACCAGTACCTTGGAAAAACAATTCAAAATGAGATCATACAGTTACTGGGAACAAACGCCAAACAGAAGATTGTGGCAGATCTGAAGTCAGCAAGATATTACTCTGTTACTCTGGACTGCACACCTGACATCAGCCGTACGGAACAAATGACTTTAATGGTGCGTTTTGTAACAACAACAGAACCTGGTGAAAATGTCCCTGCAATGGTGACTGTCAGAGAGCATTTTCTAGAATTTATTGACATTGTTGATACTACAGGAGCTAGTATGACAAACGTGCTTCTTAAAAAGCTGGAAGATACAGGAATTGCGATAGCTGACATGAGGGGTCAGGGCTACGATAATGGTGCCAACATGAGAGGAAAGAACAGAGGAGTGCAGACACAGATCCAAGAGTTAAATCCTCGAGCTTTTTTTGTCCCATGCAGTTCTCATTCATTGAACTTGGTGGTCAGTGATGCAGCATCAGCTTCTAGTGAGGCTGCTGAATTTTTTAATGTAATTCAAAACATCTATGTATTTTTTTTCTCTGCATCAACTCATCAATGTCAAATTTTGAAGCAACATCTGGGAACATCCTCTCTGACACTGAAACCACTGAGTGCCACACGATGGGGAAGTCGAGAGGAGGCGATAAAGCCTATCAAATACCAAATTGGGAAGATAGATGATGCCATAGTTGCTATTATGGAGGATAATGCTATGACAGGAACTGTTCGTGGGAGAACAGTGGCAGAGGGAAATGGAATCACCAGAAACATATGTAACTTCAAATTGCTGTGTGGCTTAGTGTTGTGGCATGACATACTGTTTGAAATAAATGTTGTAAGCAAGAGACTCCGAGGTGTTGTCCTTGATATATCTGGAGCAATGGAACAACTGGACAAAGCAAAGTCATACCTACAGTCTTACCAGTCAGATGAGGGATTTCAAAATGTTCTGAAGAGTGCACAGAAGTTGGCAGAGCAGGGCACTAGAGACAGTGTTGACACATGATGACATGCACCATATTGATGCCAGTGATTTAGGTGATGAACTGAAAGCCCTTTCAAGACACATTTCAGCAGTATCAACTCCAAAGGCTGTTCTGGAATATATGTGCACAAATAAGATGACCACCCTCTTTCCAAATGCTTTTGTTGCTCTGCGCATACTTCTCATACTTCCTGTAACAGTTGCCAGTGGAGAACGCAGCTTCTCCAAACTGAAGTTAATAAAAACACATTTACGCTCCACAATGACACAGGAGAGGCGGGTCGGCCTTGCAACCATCTCAGTAGAGCGTGAGCTGGCCCAGACTGTGGACCTTCAGCAGGAAGCAGTTCAAATCTTTGCAACCAAGAAGGCACGGAAAGCACCACTTTTATTATTCAAACAAATAAAAATGCCAGTGTTTACTATGCAGACAAGAAAAGTTACATTCGTTGTTCAGGCGTTTGAAAGTTAAATGTTACTTAAAATTTTTGAACAAGACATTTTAAGTTGTTCTCCTTTATTGGGGTAGGCAACAGAGCAGTACCATGAGAGGAGTAGAACAGGAAGAAGGCAGAATTGAGACCTTTCAAAGTTTTGGCCCAAGCGAGGGGGTTTGGGGGCGCCATTTGAGCTCCCTGCCTCAGGTGCCAGAATGTTGTGGGCCGGCCCTGGCAAGAAGCGTAGGTGGAGTCGATGGGGGAGCATCAGCAGTCGACCTACCACAGAGAAGACACCCTGGTAAGTAGATCTAAGTGTGTTGACTTAGGTTACGTTATTCACAGAGCTGAAGTTGCGTAACTTAGATCGACCCCCCCCCCCAGTGTAGAGCAGGCCTAAGTACTTTTAAACACAGTATATGTAATAGAGTAATCTTTTTAGCTATTTTTTACACTGAGGCAATTCAGATAAATTGGTAAGGAGAAAAATTAACATTCGTTTTAAAAATATTAAACAAACCAAAGTCATTTTATAAGTAAGCAAAAAGAGCTAGCAGGGTGTGCAGTTATGGAGAAATTACACTTCTCATGTGGCTAAAGGTCTTTGGCTTTGCATCTTGCCTCCAATGCACCAGAGGCATGTAAATGATGTTCTGCGCATACACACAGACACACTCCTGTAAGAGAGAACACAGAGCATATTCTCATTAGTATTTTACACCGTTAACATATATAAAAGTTAGAATTTGACTCAAATTAAGTTCAGAGATGCCTTATAATTATACTCTACATCTAATTTACAACATAGATTAGTAATATGGTCTGTATTTTCTGTTTCCAGTACAGTTGAGTCCCTGGAGTGCTAAAGTACTATTTTACATTGGTGTACAACTGAGGGTTTAATAAATCTGTCCAATGAGAATTTCATGCACAAAGTCATTGGGATTAAGTGGTTTTTATGGCCCAGTCAACTTTCCTCTGCTTTGTTTTTTGAAACTCGACAGCTGCTAGCTCTTCTAAATGTTTTTGTTAACATATGAAGATCAACCACAGTAACTTTAAAAAACAAAAACAAAAAACTTTCAAACTAGTCATCAGGCCTGATCCTAAAAGGTGCTCAACACGAGGCAGAATCAAGCCCTTAAAGTGAAAGGCCTACCAAAAGCCATATGCTCTTTTTTCCTGATCAGCTATAATCCAGCCAAATGTATAAAAGGGATAAATATGTCACTCCCACAGAGTGCAGCAATCTGAAAAAATAGTGAATAAAAATACTTATGTTAATAGTAAAGCCTTTGGGTATCAATTATATTTTGTTTGTGAGTGCATGTGTCTGCTTCAGCTGTGAAACAGCTTTGTCTAAAGCTTTATGGAAGGGTGTGTAGAGCAGTTTTGAGACTTCATTTGACTAAAAGTGATGTGGAAAGGAATTAAGGTTGTTTGTACAGATGGGCCTAGAATTAAAATACTCAGACTGGCTATTTGTGGGTATTGCCAAAATACCCTTCAATAATCTGGGTATTGTACCTGAATAAAAGTTGATTTGAGTGTGTGATGATTCAATGTATTACATAAAGGTTCTGAGTCTTCTCTGACTTACACTGATGTAAATCAGGAGTATCTCCATTGAATTTTGTGGAGGCATGTCAAGTTGAAACTGACGTAAATGAGAAGAATCAGGTTCAAAATATCTACGTATAAGATAGATATGAGTGTACATGAGGATAAATACGTTATGGAGTCATAGGGCCACATTCTGCTCTCAGTTATACTGATGTAGAAAGCAGCGTAACTCCACTGAAGTCAATGGAGGTATACAACTGTCAAAATGAAGTAAGTGACATTGGCATGAAGCCCTTATTCAACACTTTGAAATGGCCAGAGCTAAAGGATTTGGCCCACATGCAGAAATCCCATTGGTGTCTATGGCTGTTTTACAGAAGAGCAGTTGCAGCTTTGGGGTCTTCATCCTGCACAGAGAAGACCCGTATTTCATTTAGTGGCCTACACTTGCAGCATATTGGTACAGCAGTTAACTATGAGCTGTCAGGTTCCAAGAGTAACCTATTCGGACAAGTTATGAGGTGATCTCAATGTTGATGTACATTACATGCAGACAACCAACATAAGATAGCATTAAGGTGGTGTAACTTACCGACTAAAGAGATTAATAGATGGGGTTGTAACAGAGGAAAAGCAACCCACAGCAGGGAGTAAGCAAGTGTAAAATAAGTGGGAAGAAGGGGCTTTTCCTATACCACCTTATTTCTTCCTGGTAGTTGCTTGTCCTCCTACAATCCTGTCCTTCAACCTCAAAAACCACCACCACCGTTTGTACCAATTGACCTCCTTGGTAGAAGTCTCTGCAAAGAGGCTGAGTATTGAAAGCACCTTAGAGACTGACTTATCCTCCTGACCTAAAGGTGGCCTATCCAGTTGGGGCAGCAGGGAAGCTTGCACAGCTGATGCATACGATGTAGCAGATAAAGAAAAGACTTCAGTCTCCAAGCCTTTAAATCTGGCATCTCTCATGAGCATTAAATTCTCACACCCAAAAAAATAAATTTGATGTTTTTGTTTATGATCTCTATTTATTCATTCATTTTAGCTTATAAAAATGGAAAATGCTTCTTTCTCTTTCTGAAAACATTTGGCATATGTTCTAAACTCTGAGTGTTGAATTAGGCAACTTTCCAGTAACTCCCTTCCAGCACATCTAAATCTAGATTACAGCTGTCTTTTTGGAAAGGCATACATAACTCAGCATGTGGGAAACTGACTGACATTTTCTCCTCTCCTTTTCAGAGTGTCTCCTCTGCAGAAGTCTGAAATAGTAGACATGGTAAAGAAACATGTAAATGCCATCACATTAGCCATCGGAGACGGTGCCAATGACGTGGGAATGATCCAAACCGCGCATGTGGGAGTCGGGATCAGTGGGAATGAGGGCATGCAGGCAACCAACTCTTCTGATTACTCCATAGCACAGGTCAGAGGCACTAAAAAGCAGCTGCCATGTTCTGCTGACAGAGGTATCAGCTGTGTGTCAGCATAAGCGCTTCATTGCTGGCTTTCAAGCCGAGAGAATCTTTGTTCATATCCTCCTTGAGACAGCCATCTAAAACTGATACCTCGGATGTATTAGGGATCATTTTAGTTTTGATCTTGTTGTGCCCTTTGGGGCAATGATCAACCCTTTCCTAAAGGCTTAGGTTTCTTCTTGCCAGCTGTGGAACATTCAAACTGTTCAGTAATCAGGGAAAGGCACCGTTCATGACAGTTACATTTAATGCCCTTCTAATTATAATTTATCTTCCTCAGTGTGCTCTTGTCACTGACACCTGTTGGTGAACTATATTAATGTCCAGAAGAGGTAGATGATGATGGGACATTTCTTTTATTTCGAAGTCTCTTTACCCCGTTTTTCTTAAACTACTAAAAAATCAGTTATTCAAATACTAAAAAGCTGGTCAATATTTTGAGATAATTCAGGCAGTGACAGTGACTAGGGTACATGCTCCTAACTCATCCCATCAAATTCAGCACTGATTACTTTATCTATAGGTGGTAGTGGGAAGAAGCCATGCAGATTGCGGCAGCTCTTTGTTTAATTGAACAAATCAAAATATAAACATATTAAAAGCAACAAAAGAAAAGAGACTTTTGCTGATGTAAATGTACGGTGAATGTTGTTTGTTTACGGTTAAGGTATCATGTTCACTATCACTTGTGATAAGAAAATCTTTAATATTTGGTAATAGTACAAGAACGTTAGATTCAAATCTAGAACAGGGTAATGACCAAAAGTCGTTACAGTCTGCTGGCTCTTTGGTAGCCTGTGAGAAATGGGTTGGGATTTCATGCCACATGCATGTAGGCAGCTGTCAGATGTACTCACTATGAAATCTTCCTTTACAATTTATACTAATTGGCACCCTTGTTGGAAATTTCAGCAGATAGCTGAAGGATTGGAAGGGCAGAAAGGCAAACTCCGCTATTGCTCCTCGAGGTAGTTGTTCCTGAACAGGTTGACCCATTGACAGAGCAATCAAGGAACCATGTACTGCTGCTGCCGTGGTGTATGTGTGCCGTGGTCAGGCAGAGGGCCTCCATATTCAGTGGTGGTCATCTGAGAATTTTCACAAGCACTAATTGCACTTTTAAAATTTCAGGTTAAAAACCTCATCCAATATTAATTCAGTAATAGATAGTAGTATACTGCAAGTACACTTACACAGCATGACACCAAAAAAGTAATACACCAGGACAACCTTCAACTGCCTTGATCACAATGGTTACACTGTCCAGCAGTGGTCTCTACATTACTAATCTTCATACCCTCTACCATATAATACTTTTGAGGCACAATTCATTTAAAAAATCTGTATTTACAGAGACTTCATAAGATTCAATTTATTTATTAAAATGACAGTGTAAAAGAATAAATAGGTAGTCAGAGTTTTGTCCATAGATGGCCTATCACATTTTATTAATGCCTTTGGCATTTAATCTAATTAGTTTAAACCTGATGAAGTTGTTTGATATTCATGTGTCACTTTCAAGTGGCTTTCGGGTTAATCTAAGAATGGTGAAAATGGGTTGTGCTCAGTTTAACTGTGGTTTCAGGATTATTGACAATAGCAATAGAGATAATGTTATAGTTAGGGCTGTCAAGTGATTCAAAAAATTAATCGCGATTAATCACGCGATTAAACAACAATTGAATACCATTTATTTTAAGAAAGAATGAGGAGTACTTGTGGCACCTTAAAGACTAACAAATTTATTTGAGCATAAGCTTTCATGGGCTAAAGCCCACTTCATCAGATGCATGCAGTGGAAAATACAGTAGGAAGATATATAGATATAGATATAATTATATACAGACAACATGAAAAAATGAGGGTTGCCATACCAACTCTTAACAGACCTATCGATTAAGGTGGACTATTAGCAGGAGAAAAATAGCTTTTGTAGTGATGATCAGGATGGCCCATTTCAAACAGTTGACAAGAAGGTGTGAGTAACAGTAGGGGGAAATTAGCATGGAGAAATAATTTTTAGTCAGTGTAATGACTCATCCACTCCCAGTCTTTATTCAAGCCTAATTTAATGATGTCCAGTTTTCAGATTAATTCCAGTTCTGCTATTTCTCGTTGGAGTCTGTTTTTGAAGTTTTTTTGTTGAATAATTGTGACTTTTAAGTCTGTAACTGAGTGTCCAGGGAGGTTGAAGTGTTCTCCTACTGGTTTTTGAATGTTATAATTCTTGACGTCTGATTTGTGTCCATTTATTCTTTTACGTAGAGACTGTCCAGTTTGGCCAATGTACATGGCAGAGGGACATTGCTGGCACATGATGGCATATATCACATTGGTAGATGTGCAAGTGAACGAGCCTCTGATAGTGTGGCTGATGTGATTAGGTCCTATGATGGTGTCCCTTGAATAGATATGTGGACAGAGTTGGCAACGGACTTTGTTGCAAGGATAGGTTCCTGGGTTAGTGTTTTTGTTGTGTGGTGTATGGTTGCTGGTGAGTATTTGCTTCAGGTTGGGGGGCTGTCTGTAAGCAAGGACTGGCCTGTCTCCGAAGATCTGTGAGAGTGAGGGATTGTCCTTCAGGATAGGTTGTAGATCCTTGATGCGTTGGAGAGGTTTTAGTTGGGGGCTGAAGG